CTATTTTTAGTGCATCTAGGTTAGATGCATTTTAAAAATAAAAATAAAAATTGACTAATTTTTTTTAAAAAAAAATCACAAAATACACAAAATTTGAAAAGTAAAATATTCAAAAATTGTATTTTAAAACTCACAACAAAATAGAGTGATATCTTCGAAAATTTGGAAATAATATAACAAATTTTACATATTTGATATTAAGGAGTTTTTTTGGTAAATCTGGTTCATAAGAGTTTTATTTCATCCAACTCATATTCTTTTTTACTATTCCATTAAGTCCTATTTGAGATAAGAAGACTAAAACACCCTCAATCTCTCTTACTTTCATTAATGTTGACATTTAATATTGTTTGGTAGTTCCTATGACCATTGACTCCAACAAAATGCATTATCTATACACCACTATTTAATGTTGATATATATTACACACAAAAAATTAAACATAGTTTTTTATTAATTGTCATTATATTTTAGTAGTTCTCATGCATCTAAATATTGACTATACATAATGAGAATTGGGGTCACTGCCGTGCTAAAGACACAATGGCTGTTGTGCCTTAATTTGAAGCATATTTTGGGTTTATTTTTATGATCCAAACTGTTCATTTTGTATGGTTTGTTGAGTATTTCATGCCTATCAAAAATCAAATTAATCGGTTATCAATAAGTATATGATCGAATTGCATATTTTTTATGCTATTTCTCAAAAGAAAAAACTTATTGTTTATTTTTTTGATTACCAATCATATACTTATTGATATCCGATTAATATCAAAAAAATAAACAATAAGTTTTTCATTTCAGAAATAGTATAAAAAATATGCAATTTGATTATATAATTGATATCCAATTAATATGATTTTTGACAGGAATGAAGTACTCAATAAATCCTACAAAATGAATGGTTCGAATCATAAAAATAAGCCCATAATACACCTCAAATTGAGGCACAACAGTCACTGCTATGCCTTTAGCACAACAGTAACCCCCCATTCTTACGTAATGACGTGAATGTTCACATTAGATGATGTGAATGTGAATATTCACATCAGATGACGACGTGTGATAAATGTGATGTTAATGTTCACATCAGCATTATATCAAATTACACAACCACAAATCTCAACTTTCATTTGAATATAAACATGACTGTATGTGATAATGTGAATGTTCATATCAGATGACGTGAATGTGAATGTTCACATCAGATTACATTAAAAATACATTCACATCACATGAGAAAGAATGTTCACATTATTTTTAATGTGTTATCAATTAAAAATATATTCACATTACATAATAATATAAAATAATAATATCAATGTTATTTAATTTGTGTATGAAATTTTCTATGCCTTATCCTTTCCCTTCTCTCTCCTCCTCTAACATTAAATACCAACATTAAATATAAGGGTATGAGAGTCTAAGAAAATAGTGTGAATAAAAAAAAAGAACTTTATGGAATAAACTATAAATACATGGACTAAGTGGGTCAAAAAATTTCTTCATGAACTTTTTGGATTAGAGCACTTCTAAATGAGATTTATCAATAACAATCCCTTGATATAATTATGCCACCTCCTTTTAGAAAAATTAAAAAGACTAAAATTAGTGTAAATAGTGTAAAGACATACAGATAAATAAAATAAACATATATATAATTTAATGAGGAAAAAATGACGATATCAATTTTTTATGTGAGATTAATAAATTACAGATAAAAAAGGGGACTATGTATCATGTTAATTAAAATTTTATGAGAATCTAATAAAATTATTCAAAAGTTGTGGCGTTCATATATATTTTAAATTATCTTAATTTTTTCACTAATGCTACAATTCCAAAATTTTTATCATAAAAATTGCCAAGAAAATTAGTATATGTTGTAGATGAAGGCTTATTGTGTTGTGGACCACACCCCTATAATGAATCTTATTCACACAATTTAAATTTTGGGAGAGATGCTAGAGAGCTCTAAATCTAGAGCTTTAATTTGAGCTCTAGTGATGTGTCCAAGCAAAAAAAAAAAAAAAATAAAATAAAAAAAAAAAAAAAAAGCACAAACATCACATCAGAGTGGGTCCTACATTCCCATTAGAGCTATTAGAGCTCATATATTAGAGCTCTAAAGCATTTTTGAAATTTTGGATATATTTTTGTGTTTTTACAACAAGTCCTACGCTATATTTTAGTATAATTACATTAACTTCATTTTTAATAAAGTTAAATAGATAAACTAATGAAACTGGAATAGAGACATAAGGATAAACACCCTGAGTCATTAATTAAGGTGGATAATCATCTCGAATTTGATAAGTTTCTAATTTCAACTATTCATTAAATTGATAAATTATTAATTTTAGCAACTCATTAAATTAAGGAGTTGTTTGAGGTGTTCTAAATAAGTGTATTTTTTATTTTTTTGGACTAAAAAATTGAGGAAAAAAATATGGATGTTTGGTTAACTTTTTGACTTTTTATAGAAAAATGTGTATTAAAAAATTATATAAATTAGTATGTAGGGGAAAATTAGGATTGAGAGTTGTGCAGTCATAATTTTTTACTTTTGGTGAATAATGATAACTTTTTAACTTTTTGAGTAACTTTTTGTCTTTTTTTTTAACTTGCAAAAAAGTTACTAAAAAAGTTAAAAAGATATCACTATCCACCAAAAGTCAAAAAGTACGGCTGCACAACTCTCAATCTTAATTTTTCCCCTACATACTATTTATACAATTTTTTAATACATTTTTTTTTCCATAAAAAGTTAAAAAATTAACCCAAATATTTATATTTTTTCTCTTATTTAAGACACCCCAAACAACCCATTATTATTATTGCTTGTTTTAATGATTTTTAAATTAAATAATAAATATCATGTGTCATGTGTCAGGAACATTGGACACTCAGGCTTGTTTTTGAGAAATAAAAAGTTTAGTTTTTTTTTTTACTTTTTCTAAAAAAAAATTATGTAAGAAAGTAAAAAATAATATAATTTAAAAAAGACAATAAAACAATTTTTAACCGAATTGTCAAAATAAGCCTTACTAACATGACTCATAAAAAATATATATCTTTTCATATGAAAATACGACAACATTATTTTTTATTTACTTAGCTATTGAATTATAAAATGAAAAGAGTTACGTATTGTATAAAATAAATTTTTTAAAACAATTAATATAATTATATTAAAATTATAAAATTTAATATATATTTTAAAATTTAAATAATATTATATGTATCAATTGATATATTAATTAGTGTACTAACGGATGATGTGACATAATTTTAGAAATTTTAAATTTTTATAATTTGTATGATACTAGCAATTGCCGTGCATTGCACGTGTTATTTTAAAAAAAAAAAAATGATGGTAAGATATGTGTTATAAAAAAATAATGTTAATTTTAATTTAAAATTAAAATTAAAGTATAATTTTAATTATTTATTTTGATAATATTGGGACTATCGTTCTATAAAATTATTACTTGAATACTTATATATATTAATTTTAGTTAAATTATTTGTGCATTTTAATAATTTTAATTCTATCATATTATAAAAGTGTAATTATCATATAATAATTTTGTATGATATATATTAAATCATAAAATAGTAAAATAAATATGTATTTTGATATTAAAAATAATAGTTAAATTAGAAGAAAAATTAGTAACATAAAATTAAAAGTAATTATAACTAATTAAATTTTCTTTTATATTCATTTGGAAAATAAAAATATGTAGAAATTGAAATTATATAAAATTTATTAAAAAAATTAAATATGTTGTAGTTAGATTATCATATAATGATTTTATATGATATATATAAAATTATAAGATTGTAAAATAAACACTCTTAATTAAATTAAAATATCAACTATATAAAAAAAATTCAACAACGACTAATCAAGAAATAATCATATAACAACATCTAAACTCAAAAAATAATTAATAAAAGCATCCAAATGATAGATACATATTAATGTATAAAGTGATTAATCGTCTATAATATTATGTCAAAACAAAAAAAAAACTTATTGTTTACCAATTGAAAAAGTGACCCAAACAGTAAATTCTAGCTTTTGAAGTTTCTCGAGAATATCATTATTATGCAGGTTTTTCTTTCTGTGAGTTGTGATTATATAAAATAGTGTAAGAAATAAAATATAATTTAATATATATAATCACTATAAAATTTAAATTACAAATCCATAATATAGAATAATATAGAATTGGTATTTGGTATAAAATAATGCATGAAAAAATTTAAAAAATAAAAGGCAATTTAACATTAAAAAAATTCTAATATTCTTAAAAGAATTAAGAAGAAAAAAAGTGAAACGTAAAATTAATATTGAGTTTGTGAATTATCTCAATTTACTATAAAAATATATGAAAAGAAATATTTGTCAAATAGAGTTGATATAAAATCCGTAAAGTTAATATAATTTAAATTAAGGGGTTGTTTGGGGTGTCATAAATAAGTGCACTTTTTATCTTTTTGGTCTAAAAAATTGAAGAAGAAAATATGGATGTTTGGGTTAACTTTTTGACTTTTTATAAAAAAAAATGTGTAATAAAAAATTATAAAAATTATTTAGGGAAAAATTAGAATTGAGAGTTGTGTAGCCATAATTGTTGACTTTTGATGAATAGTGTTAACTTTTTAACTTTTTGACTAACTTTTTAACTTTTTTAATTTTTTTATAATATGCCAAACTTTAATTTAAATTTGAATTTGTGTAAAATTTTATATGTGTTTAAGAAAATACATACTAGTCTGACTCTGTCAAGCATGAAAAAAATATTATTTAAAAATATATATATATATATATATACATATATATGATGATAAATGAAGTCATAAATTTATGTATTAATATATTAATTTATACCTATAACACTACTGTTAAAATTTATTTTAGCAAACACCAATGTAATATTCTGTAAGTATTAAATTATTACTTATTTTGTTAGTTTGGCTCTAGAAAAAGAAAGCAGAGAGAGAAAGAAAGAGAGATGGATCGATCGGTCTCTATGCCAACAGATCTGAGAGAAGTAGAAAAAGAGATAAGGACAAAACAAAAAACACGAAAGGGAGGGAGATAGAGAGAGACCTGATCTTCAACTCTTGCTTTGGACTGTTGCGATGCCGAAGATCTCTGCTCCATAAAATGGCGTCGTTTGGGTGTTGTTTGGGTGTTGGAGCGTTCTGAATCTCTGCAGCATATCATCAGACCTCTCTGATGGGTCATGAAAGCAGCTCTCTGTTCCAAACTCTGGTTTTGATCACTGCTAATCAAATATGGACTTGAACATGCAAATCATCATCATCACCGAGTGTTTTCAAGCCTCTTTCTCGTTAATCTGAGAGAAATCTCAGATTTGTAGTGTTACAGATCTTGCATTTCAAAGCTACTCTGTGAAGAAGACACTGAATATACTTATAATTCCAGTCTCTATGCATTTGATATAACGGATGCATCTGATATAACGGTGAACAGTAAATGCTTGGAATCTGAACAAGGCTTAACGGTAAGGAGCTCAACAGACTATTGGACTGTGCTCGCTCGCTAGTATTGGAATAAATATTAGAGAGAAAAACTAGAGAGAGAGAGAGGTGATAGTGTAAGGTTCTGTTGAAGATTTTTATTTTGTTGCTCTGATCTTCTGTAGCATATATAATAGGTCAGAAATCTTATTCCCTTTCTCAAAACACATTTCTTATATGTAAATATGAAATCTAATGTATTGGTGTTGTTTTTCACTCTGTTTTTAGGTTTTTGTTGATGTTTGATTGTTCACAAGAACAGCGAAGGTTTGATTTTGGTTATTCGTTTGGAAGAACACAATTTGATTGCTCTATTGAACTAAAAGGTTGCATTTGAAAGAAAGGGAGGAAGAAGAGATGAAGGAGGTGGAGGAGAAAAGCTTGGATTCTCAACTATGGCATGCTTGTGCCGGAGGAATGGTTCAAATGCCTCTTGTGAATTCCAAAGTTTTCTACTTTCCTCAGGGCCACGCCGAGCATGCCCTCACAACCGTCCATTTCGGGGCCTTGCCGAGGCTTCCGGCTCTGATCCTCTGCAGAGTTACTGCAGTGAAATTCATGGCCGATGCTGAAACTGATGAAGTTTATGCGAAAATTAGGTTAATTCCTATGAGAAGCAACGAGCTTGATTATGACGATGATGGGGTTTTGGGGAGTAATGGATCCGAATCCCCTGAAAAACCTGCTTCTTTCGCCAAAACATTGACTCAATCGGATGCTAACAACGGTGGTGGATTCTCAGTTCCTCGGTACTGTGCGGAGACTATCTTCCCCCGATTGGATTACTCGGCTGATCCCCCCGTTCAAACCGTAATTGCCAAGGACGTTCATGGTGAAATTTGGAAATTTAGGCATATTTACAGAGGAACGCCGAGGAGGCATTTGTTGACAACAGGGTGGAGTAGTTTTGTGAACCAGAAGAAACTTGTTGCTGGCGATTCAATTGTGTTCTTACGAGGGGCAGAGAATGGGGATTTGTGTGTTGGAATCAGACGGGCCAAGAGAGGAATTACTGGTGGCCCTGAGTCTCCCTCCGGATGGAATTCTGGCTCTGGAAATTGTGTTTCTTCATATGGGTCATTTTCAGTGTTTATGAGGGAAGATGAGAACAAACTGATGAGAAATGGGTCTAATGGGAATTTGAACTCTGGTGGTGGGTTTAGGGGAAGGGGAAGAGTGAGGCCTGAAGCGGTTGTTGAAGCTGCAACACTTGCAGCTAATGGACAAGCATTTGAAGTGGTTTATTACCCGCGGGCAAGCACTCCAGAGTTCTGCATTAAGGCTTCATCTGTGAGGGCTTCCATGAGGATTCAATGGTGCTCTGGGATGAGATTCAAAATGCCATTTGAAACCGAGGATTCTTCCCGGATTAGCTGGTTCATGGGAACCGTAGCTTCTGTTCAGGTTGCTGACCCAATTCGCTGGCCTAATTCCCCATGGAGGCTTCTCCAGGTATTGTAAAATCTCTCTAGCATATTACTTTAATTTGTCAATGATCTTATTTTGAAATACTGTAGTATTGATTTCTTTACGATTTATCAATGAATCTTGTTTTTGGTATTTGGATAACTCAGATGCTTTTTAGGGAATGTTAAATCATAAGGACTTGTTAAACAGTTTAGAAAAAATCATAATCCTAAGATCCTGGCTGAGTTACTTTCCACTGGTATCTTAGGTAATTGCTAAACAAGAATGGATCTTCTATTTCTTTCCATGCAACCCTAATGTTCATTTAAGTAATATTCTTTCGTTCAAGAATGTATTTATAGATGAGTGTTTTCCTTGTATGCCTACATTTTGAACATTTAGTAGCTGAAAATTTTATTGTTGCTAGCCCCACTGAAGAAAAAAAAAATAAAAAAATAAAAAAAAACCTCTATTGCTTTTGAAATGTTGGAATAAATGTTTATGTTTCCACCTCACTTGTAAGACCATATGGTTGTAATTGTGATTTGAATACAATGCTGGCTCACATGTTGCTATTAGAAAAAAGAATATGATACGGTATGCGTAAATGTCACATGCTAGCATAATTTAGTTTTCAGGTGATTGTTTCTAAACATTATATGAGAATATATTCTAGGATATTTTTGTTTAATGGAATATAGCCTAACTACTTGACTGACAGAAACTATGCGATGCGTTTTCTGCAAGAGAAATACTAGAGATCCCTAAAATATGACCCAAAATTCACCACATCATGCAGGGGTTGGATCTTAGGTGGTTGATTTTTAAGCCAATCTATAAATGACATGGAGTAGTCCACAATGATGTATAAATTTAGGGGTCTCAAGCTTTTTTCTTTGCACAATATTCCTCTTGGTCAATTTTTATTCCAAAAATTTCCTTTCTTTGTTTCCCCAAGGGCTTTCTTTCCATGAAAGAAGTATTTAATTAAATAATAGTCATGATATAAACACTGGCTGGAAAATTATTTTTTTAAGTTGGTTTTTGATCTTTCATGTCTGATGCATCAAGCTTCTTCACATGGAATAAAATAATGATGGTTTTCTAACCTAAGATCTAGTGTCTTAAAAAAATGCTTTAGGAAGCTAAATCAACTTTCAATCTTGTTCCAACTTCTTTTTCTTAATCAAATTTTGGATATTGTAAATATACTTTCTTTGTTTACTTATTCTTGATAGTAAAAATAAATATTGATCTTTGTTTTTCTTTTTTCTGCTGTCGTTCATTAGTGTTAATTTGAGAAGGATAATTTTGTACTAAATTTTCTGTAGTAAACATTATATGAATTCTGTTCCATTTTATTTATGACACTTGTCCTAGTCTCTTCTCTTCTAAAATCATTTAGAAATTGATGATCTTTTTCCCTAAAAGTTCCAAAGTTTGTTGTTGCTCTTAACAATCTGCAGGCACTTACTGATAATTGAGTTATTTGCAAAAGAAGTAGAATCTATCTAGACCTGTGTAAGGCTCATTTGCAAAGTTCATGCAGTTTAACTCCGGTAATTTTTCTTTTCTTACTTGTTCTTTGCAAACCAATTTGCAGGTGACATGGGATGAACCAGATTTGCTGCATAATGTGAAGCACGTCAGCCCATGGCTGGTCGAGTTGGTATCAAACATGCCTGTCATTCACATGTCACCCTTTTCACCACCAAGAAAGAAATTGCGGTTTCCGCAACACCCCGACTTCCCTCTCGACGGCCAATTTTCAATGCCGTCATTTTCACGCAACCCCCTAGGGCCCAGCAGTCCTTTGTGTTGTCTATCCGACAACATTCCTGCAGGCATACAGGGAGCCAGGCATTCTCAATTTGGAATACCATTATCGGATCTCTACCTTCATAACAAACTGCAGTTGGATCTTTTCCCGTCCAGCTTGCAGCAGCTTGATCCGCATGGTAAATTATCCGATGGTTTGGTTTCAACCCACAAAAACAGCAATGACAATGTTTCTTGCTTGTTGACAATGGGGAATTCCAATAGTAAATCAGATAAAACTGATAATTTGAAGACACCCCAGTTTGTACTCTTTGGCCAGCCAATACTGACTGAACAGCAGATCGCTTGTAGCTGTTCCGGTGATGCAGTCTCAAAAGTTGTAAATTTTCCAGAGAAGAAAGAAAGATCTGCATTTGACCAGCAATGGGTTCCAGAAAATCTGTCATGCGTTGCGTTTCCGTGGCGTCAAGGTTTTCACATGACTGAACTTGGCCTCGATACTGGTCATTGTAAGGTGTTTATGGAGTCGGAGTATGTAGGCCGGAATCTTGACCTCTCCGTTATTGGATCTTATGAAGAACTATACAAAAGGGTTGCAAACATGTTTGGAATAGAAAGATCAGAGACGCCATGTCATGTGCTATACCAGGATGCAACTGGTAATGTCAAACATACTGGAGATGAACCTTTCAGGTATTCTCGTTATCATGTTTATTTGCAGTTGTAATTTGGTGACATCAAACTCACATAACGGAAAGTCCATAGATTCTTGGTTTTACAATTTATGGTTCTCTTTCTTCCCTTGTTCTCATTGCAGTGATTTCATGAAAACTGCAAAAAGATTGACAATTCTACTGGATTCAGGCAACAACTTTGGAAGGTAAATAAATGATCTTGCATTATATCAATCTTAGTTTTTCCCAGGCTGGCCATCCATGATGAAATTGTGGGAAACCCGTTTATTGCCATTCTCAACTCGTAAAAAAATGGATGTAGAAAGGCCTTTAATTAATTTCTCAGTCTTTTCTTTGTGCCGGTCAAATTCAAATCTAGACATTAATTCTGCAAGATTTTTGTTCTTTATGAATCAATATCGCTTGGAAAATTTCATAAAATGAAAGTTAAAAGAAATATTTTTGACAGGCAATGGATGACAGGGCTGCAAAATGCCGAGAACGGACTGGACTCTTCAAACCAGACTGGCCCCTTGAGCATATTTGCATAGTAGATTTTGGACTTGGTAGTCAGTGTAAGAAAATTATCAATAAATGTTGGAGGAATTTCTCATTTCTCATTTCTCAATGCTGTGTGTGTGTGTGTGTGTGGTGTTGGGAGAAACAATTTATGAAACTCCAAACTTTCATTTAGAGTAACGTCTAAAACTACGTTGTGTATGCTTTGTTGAATATTGATGTGATGCATAAAAATAGACTTCGATGCCTACAATACGAAGGTTACTTGGTGGTTATGATTGCGATGTGCCCTAATTTGTTACATGCACATTACATTCTTAAATGCTCTCCTGCACTGGATTTTATTCCCAACTCCTATGCATTTTAGATTTTGACGAATCTGTGCATACCTGCGCACAATTGCATGTTATATTATATGGACTAGGGTACCGGTATTGTGTGCAACTATGTGCTTAAATGTCGGATTCATCTAATTCCCATAAGAACACATGACATGATAAAATAGGCTATGTGAATGTTCAACTAAACATGTCAGACAAATGCTATACCTTTATTCAATTGTCAAGTGTAGATAACTGATATTTCACACATGTAGTGAGATTCATATAGAATAGTCCTTCATTTTTTTGTTATAGATGATGTGTACTTTGTAGTGCAATTGTCCTGCGAGACTTTGATTTCACAATTTCTGCTTTTGATAAACAGCAGGCTTGTTCAAATTTTTGGAGAAAATTGTTTGGAATGAGTTCACGAGGGGTGGTAGTTTTTGACCACATTGAACTGGGTTGTGCTGTTGTGGGATGTCAATTGTAGATTTTGAGGTTTAAAATGACTTGTAACATAATGTGAGTAATTCAACTATAACATTTATTAGTAAAAATAATTTATGAGATTTGTATGTTTAGAAGCATTAGTCATAAATATGTACCCACGAAACTAGTGTTTTGTAAAGTAAATTAATAATCAAACTAATTAATATGATTAATTCTTTTAATAACGAATGTCCCATGCGGTAATTCAACTTTGGTAATTAAAATAAGATACTATAAAAATAATATGATTTGGTTATTAAATGAGACGTATTGAAATAATATGATAAATTTATCTATACTATCATTAAGTGAAGATTTAAATTGATTTAATGAAGTTCTTTTTTCCTCATATCACGTGATAATTTTGTGTTAAAAATAAATAAAAAATTATTATACAGCGTAAGTAAGTTTTGAATACAAAATTTTAGATTTCATTAAGAGCATACTTATCATTTAAGTAATATGTATATTATGATATTAAATTTTTTATTATTTATTTTTATTATTAATTATTTAAATTGTACATGCATTCATTAGTCATAAATATGTACCCACGAAACTAGTGTTTTGTAAAGTAAATTAATAATCAAACTAATTAATATGATTAATTCTTTTAATCACGAATGTCCCATGCGGTTATTCGACTTTGGTAATTAAAATAAGATACTATAAAAATAATATGATTTGGTTATTGAATGAGACGTATTGAAATAATATGATAAATTTATCTATACTATTATTAAGTGAAGATTTAAATTGATTTAATGAAGTTCTTTTTTCCTCATATCACGTGATAATTTGTGTTAAAAATAAATAAAAAATTATTATACAGCGTAAGTAAGTTTTGAATACAAAATTTTAGATTTCATTAAGAGCATATTTATCATTTAAGTAACATGTATCTTATGATATTAAATTTTTTATTATTTATTTTTATTATTAATTATTTAAATTGTACATGCATTGCGTGTACAACACATCATTTTATTTTAAAGAGACTATTTTATATAGAAAAATATTTGGTAATCTGAATTTTTATGGGTCGAATATGTCAAAACGACGTCATTTTATACTAAAAATGATGTCGTTTTAGATGTTTCAAACCATTCGAATTATAATTTTTCGGATCACTTATCATTGTTGTTTTATATATTCGTCAGAAAACTATACATCAATTTGCAAAAGGCTTCATATAATTTGAGTTTTTACACCTAGACCAATTTGTACAGTATTGCAAACATCTGTTGCCTAGAGAAGGATTTCATGTCAACCAATGAAAAGATGAGAGCACGCACACCACTTGCATTGCAAGATGGGTGAAAAGTTGAAAACAAATGAGTAGTTGGTTTGACAATCGCAACTACACAAAAACACAAATTGAGAAAAACAAGGTCACAAACTAACCACTAGGTCGAAATCCAAAGCCAACTAGAAACTCCTCCATAGTCCACCCACACGTGAGAGAGAGAGAGAGAGAAAAAGAGAGAGTGTGTTTCTGGATGGGGGATAAAAAAATTGATGTGATATGATGTGATGTGAAGTGGTTTTATTGTTGTTTTGGTCCCACTAATTAATGTTTTCACGTGCAGGTCCCCACTGGTGTCTCCGTCTCGGTGGAGAAGTTACTTGGTGGCGGTCCCGAGTTGGGGGTGTAATTTTATGAGCGGATTCAACTTAAATGAATTAAGTATAGTTTAATTTTTTTTTTTGGATTTAAATAAAATATTTTTAAATTAAATACGAGTTTGAATAAAATTTACAAATTGAATTAAATGTGAATGAAGATATCAAATATCTCAAACAAATTTGAAATAAAAAACTCAAATTATATATATATTTAAAATAATAAATATATAAATTACTCATTAAATGATGTTAAAATAATTTACATAGTTAAATTAAATTGAAAATATATTACATACAAGAAGTTAATACAAAAGTTTCAATTATTAATTTGATGTTATTAATGATTTTATTAAAAATATTATTAGAGTTTACTTTTAACTAATTAATTAAGAGGAGGTTTGAATATTACCTAAATAAGTTGTTTATTGGTTTATTAACTTATTTCTATCACATCAATTTTTATTTTTTTATACGTATTTTTGTAATAAATTATAAAATTAAAAAAATAAGTCATTCCTAAACTATCTGTGCACAAAAAAAAATAAAAAATACTCAAATTTATGTATATTTTAAGCGATTCAAACCCAGATCAAATTTTAATAGACAATCTCTAATTACAATTTAGAATTAGACAAGCCTGTGCAACTCTAGCAAAATTGGAATTGAATATGGTCAATTTCTCAACTCATCTAAATCCATTCAAGTTGCACCCTTTGTCATAAACATTGTCAAGTAATATCTTTAAAGAATTGTGATCGATGAAAATGATCACATATGTTAAAACATAGGATACAAGATGAACTTGACATTTGATAATTGGACTAGGATAGGAATACATTGGGCCTAAAACACCTAATAATTTTTCGCCGACCATTTCTTTTTTACCGTTCTGCTTTGGTATTAATGCTGCTTTTGACTGCTTTGGCCACCACCACCTCACCTCTATCGATTTTCAAAGTAAAATTAAGATATCTATCTATCTTCAAAGTAAAATTATTTATTACGGTGTTTTTTTTTTTTTTTTTAAATTTTAAATTTTTGAGTTTTTCTAAAATTTTAAAAATTATTAAAAAATTTATTTTTTATGAGTTAAAATTTTAAAATTATTTTTTTTAATGGATGACAAATACATCAATACTATTTTTATTTTTTGTCTAATCTCCATGTATGTGACCCATACAACTACAGATTTAGAGTACTAATTTTAATACTCTAATAGAGCATTAATGACATAGCAAAAAAAAATAAATAAATAAATAAATTAAGATTAAAATATCACATCACAATAAATAATATTTACTATCAACTCATTAAACTTAATTTTAAAATTTAAAAATTAAAGCTCCAAAGTATTTTACCATACCACTATATCTCGCACCCCATCATCAATGATCACAATCTTCCCTTTAGATTTGAAGACAATGGGGCGCATGAATCTTTTCCAAAACATTTTGAAAAATGAAAAATATTATACTACAAATTAATAAATTAAAAACATACTAATTGATGTAACAAGCGTCATAATTAGTGTCACATTCATAAATAAAAAAACATATATATAAGATTTGTTAGTTTTATTTATATAACATTATTCTTAAAAAATAGTATATAAACACAATTTTTATTAAAAAAAATTATTTAAAATTATGAACGCAAATGATGAGTTTTTATCTTGAGCACACGGTATAAGCACAAGTGACGTGGTTAAGGCATTATTCCAGTTATTTATCAATCAACAATGTTATAATTACACTTATTTACACATCTAAACACACACTCATAGAGAAATTGAATTTGTGAGTCCTGTCCACGTATATGTGATGTGGATCCTACCCTCTCTTTTTATATATATATATATATATATGGTTTCGTTTGGGAAATGAGTTGACTTTTTAGTTTTTTGACAATTTTAGTCTGGGGTTAAAAAATTTGATTTGGGAAGGACTTTTAACTTTTTTATGAGAAAATAAATGTAATGATTACAAGTTGTATGTGATATTTTGTCTTAGGCACAAGCTATTTTAGTAATTTTTTGACTTTTTACGAAAAGATGTACAGAAAAGTAGAGAGGTGATGTGACAAGTTTTAGTTGGCTTTTTGACTTTTTGGCTAAAATAGCCACTCTCCAAACGAGGTCTTATTGAACTAAAAAGCCTATTTTATTTTTTGTGATTAAAATAGCCAAAAAAAGCCTCAAGATTAGCTTCCCAAATGGAGCTAGAAGCTCTTTTTTGCTATGGCTTGTCATTTTTTTTTACTTATATTACATTTTTATTTTGAATAATTTACTAATGGTGGGTTGCAAATAAAATGAGCTGTTCATGAACAAACTCGGCTCGACTTGTTAAGAGCTTGGCTCAGCTCAGCTCGTTTACTAAACGAGCCTAATATTCGAGCTCGAGCTCGGCTCGTTTATCTATATTTAAATTATATAATAAATGTATTATTTATATATTAAATAATATAAATAATATTTTTTTATTTAAATAATATACATAATGTAAAAAAATACCATGATTAATTTTTTATCAAGTTTTAAAGTAATAATTTCATCTTCTAATTTTTTATCTTTATGTTGTAAGTCTTTGATTGTT